TCACCACAATACACCAAAACACTTTTACTTTTACACTGGACGCGCGTTTCGCTAACCATGTTAGCATCATCAGCAGATGATTATAAACTAAAGTACAATCTACAAGTTGAGCGTTTATATACACGCTCAGTGGGCAACGAGTGGGCGTGGCAAAATCTAGCCAACCCTGTCAGAGCCAACTGAGCGTAACAGTTAGATTTCCGCCACTAGAGTAGTAGGAACAAAGAACTTGAAGGAATTGGACCGTTGACTCTGTTCATACTATCTTTACATTTATTAATTCTGATGCTTTCATATGCATCTAATTGCCTGTAATTTGAGACTTGTTTAATTAATTTTAAATTATTAAGATCTATACAATGTTCATTATCAACAATATGTTCGGCAACGCAAGATTTATCCGGTCTACCGTATCTTAACTGAGCTAAATGTTCTTTAAATCTAGTTAATATTGATCTTCTAGTTTGCCCAACATATTTGATTACAATCTTTACAAGAATTTCATAAATACCCGACCTTTCCAGTGGAGGTGTTTTATCCTTTGTATTGCCTAATAATTGTTGTAATTTATTATTAGCACTATACACAAGTTTATAATTGACATTCTTAAAAATTACTTTTAGACCACAGGATAACTCTCTATCAAACGGTATCGAAAAATATTTAGACGTATCTTCCTCCACTTGAAAAGTCGAATTTTCAGGAAATCATTAAGCTATACCTACGTTTTCTAATTAATTTATCAACTAGTGAAGGAGAATATCCATTACACTCAGCTACATTCCTAATGTAATCTCTTTCTATTTCATTTCTTTCGTTGGAAAGTGGGAAACTAAGTAATCTATGAACTAAGAAATTTAAACTAGCCATTTTATGTTCAACACTATGATGTGATTCATTAGGAATATATCAGCGTGTGGTATTTTTCCTATAGATATCAAATTCCACGCAATTATTAGTATTTCTAATAACTAATACATCTAGAAATGGTAATCTGTCGTTGTTCTCAATTTCATGCGTAAATTTAATGGAAGGAAAACGATTATTTAACTTAGAAATAAAATTATCTATGGTGTCTCAATGTGTGTCAAAAACAACAAAAATATCATCCACATACCTAACCCATACTCTTGGAAAATACTTAAACTGATTCTTAGCTTCCACTTCAAACCTGCTCATGAATAAATTAGCCAAAAATGGAGACAATGGATTACCCATTGCTGTACCTTCCCGCTGTTCAAAAAAGTTGTTATTAAATTGAAAACAGTTTTGTTTCATACATAACGATGTAAGCTCAATATATTCAATCACAGTTTTGTTGTCGAGACCATTTGCGTTCAGTAATTCCTTCAAATAGCCTAAAGTATGTGGAATTGGAGCACTTGGGAACAACGAAGATACATCAAAGGGACCAAAATTTCACCTTCATGCAATGTTATATCTTTAATTTTGTTAATGAATTCAATATTATTTTTAACTGAGAAAGAAGGTTCATGATCAGGTAAATTTTCGAACTCCCTTGATAACCATTTTGCCAAATTATAAGTCGGAGAACCTACAGCCGAAACAATTGGGCGCATAGACTTGTCCGGCTTATGAATTTTTGGCAAAGCATACAATTTTGGTAATGAGGGATTGGATACTTGCAATTTCCTCTTTAAAGAAAGATCAATAAGGGTGTTACATTCTTTTAGAGTTTTTTTAACGTCTGCTACCATCTTAGACAAGGGATTCTTTTTCAAATTTATGTAGGGGCCATTATCGATTAAGTTGTTAACCTTATCGTAATAGTCTTTTTTATCTAATATAACAACCTTATTTCCTTTATCAGCTTTTAGATAGAAACAATCTTTGTTACGCAAACTCTTGACAATATTGTGCTCTTTGTTAGATTTTAATGAATTACTTGAAACGATATTTTTTGATAACTGATTTCTACATGCCTCTCTCGTAAATACTTTAGAAGCCTCGGGCAAGTGCCGAATAGCAGTTTCAACACCAACGACGATTTCCTCCAAAGCGCTACCAGAGTTGGGTTAGATTTTGCCACGCCCACTCGTTGCCCACTGAGCGTGTATATAAACGCTCAACTTTTAGATTGTGCTTTAGTTTATAATCATCTGCTGATGATGCTAACATGGTTAGCGAAACGCGCGTCCAGTGTAAAAGTAAAAGTGTTTTGGTGTATTGTGGTGATTTAGTGTTTTTATTTTGCTGTGTAACACCAAAGGTTCCAACCCTCAACTGTAATATTAGCATAGTTATTAAATAACAGCTGGTTCTCTTCGTTTATCTTTAACACAAAAATATGTATTAAAATAAAAATATGTATATGGACTTATATTATGAATAGATATTGCTATAAAAAGACCGTATGACGCACCGAAGCCAGACAATTAATAAAAAAATCGATAAAATGTTAGAGGCAGAAGCCCTTACCAGCCCTTACCAACTTAAACCCATTATTAAAAGGTTTTTATGACAGCCCAATATGGAAAAGGGGCATTAGTAAATTGGCTCCCCGCAAGAGAGGAAACGCGTGAACCCTAAGGGCTTTCCCAACACAATTTGTTAATATCCAGGAAGAACAACTAATGTAGTGCTCCACACAGCGGATGTTCGCGCTATAGAGGAGGTTTAATCATCGCGAGTTTTTAAATGCATATATTAAAATTTCTCATTTCTCTATTTTTTTTTTCAAATAGTTTATAATTTTTATATTATACATTTTAACGACATCTGAAATAAAGCAATACAAAAGAAAATATAATTTAAAAAAAGGTATAGTCATATAATGTTTGTTTCCAAATTAGTTCGTTCTAATTGCCATATCCAAAAGTGTGTGTCATTTTTAATCATACTGTATAGGCATATAAAGTTCAAAATAACTTTTTCTATTGTGTTTGGTCCTGATAACATTCCTGCACTGAATCAATATTCAATCTAGCGCTTATCTTATTCGGACAACCCCAAAATAGTGGCTGAAAAACGGGTCCCATAGGGAAAAACTGTCCTAAAGAAAAGAATACTCTAGCAGACCCTCGTGGAGACGCTCCATCACAATGGCACTAGCTATAAGAATTAATCATCTTGGATAGAGGAAAGACAAAAGAGAGTCTAATTACTAATTACTCTTAATTTCGCGGATATCAATTTTTGAGGACCGTCGCTTTAATCGCTAATGAAAAAGAATTTTTAGTTTTAAAGAAACTTATGGAAATATTAAAAATTGAAAACTTATTATTCAAGAAACGCCGTTTTTTTTTTCATCCTGTTACATGTTGATACAAACAAAATAATACAAAAAAAAATAATAATACTGCCCCCCGACGACGTTTTTTTAATTCTGAAAAGTCTATACGCGTCCTTTTAGAATTTCTACCTTTGACCTTTTTTACGCGTTTGTAAAAAAACACCCTCTGAAAAAAAATCACTAAATTCGATGTAAATCTCATGTAGTAAACGTATTAGGACTTAATAAAAAAACTTTTCAGGCCTGAAATGACAAAAAGAATCTCCATAATGCTAATTTTGATTAACTTTTACGTAGGGAGTTATTCAATTTTACAAAAATTACTGAAAAAAAGTAATTTCTTTCAGGGTAATCGAATTCAGGGATTGTTTTTGTAAGTCATAATTTATTTTAAAATAAGAAATAAATAAACTGATCTTCTGTGTAATCATAGACAGACATATACAGGGTGGTCCGATAAATTTATGTACGCAATACTTACTTACGTACGCAATACAATAAATTAAAATACTTCGTTTCGGAGATACAGGGTGTAGAAATTTCATTTTTAATTAATTTTTTTCCAAATAATTTCTGAACTATAGTTGATATTTGGATAAAAATTGGTGTCTGGGTGTCTTTAACATCAGAAATTTAATTTAAATGTCAATATGACTCCTGCTTGTAGGAGGCGCCACCTACATGTGTTTTAATTGTTTTGAAATGTAATAACTTTTCGTCCGTACCTGTATAAAACTACAGAGTGAAAAATATACCCTTATGTTATTTTTTACGTAAAAAAGGTCTCCTGATAAAAATCTCTATGAGCAACCGTTCTCAAGAAATTTAGAATATAAATAGTCAATACATGTCATTATTGACAAAAAAATAAATATATTTGTAAATTTGAGAACTTTTTATTTTCTTAAATTAATTATAAAATTTTCTAATGTGTTTAATTTAATTATTAATTATTAACATGTTTAATTTATGTCAATGATGACATGTATTGATTGTTTTGACTCCAAATATCTCGAGAAACATTACTCGTTGTGATTTTTACCAAGAGACTTTTTTACGTAAAAAATGGAGGAAATATATATTTTTTACTCAGTAGTTTTATACAGGTACAGACGAAAAGTTCAGAAAAAAAGAATCAGAAAGGTTCTGAAAATACAAGTAAAATATTTTCTTGATTTAAATAAAAGGTCTAGATTATGTTATTGGTTGTTAATTCTGTATAATAGATAAACTTCCTGCTATTTAGGAGACCCTGTGTATATTGACAACGATTAACAGTGACTTTAGAGGTCCCGATGAGATCAGAAAAGCGATATATCAAGCAAATCGTTTCTCATTATCGGAAATCATATATTTTCGAACTATTGATGCAGTACTAAAATTATACTGACAGGAGTATCGATCAAAAAGATATTAATCCAGCACCGAAGAAGCATTGTGTCGATTTCCTTTAATAAATAGCGAATTTTCGGCGACAGCCTTAAAAAAATCATGGATACGGCCCACTTTTTTAATTAAAAAGCAAGAAGCTTTAATGTGGCTGTTTGTTTTGGATCGTTTTCACCAGAAATGCAAATAGAATGATTTGTTTTCCAAGAAACAGGATACTGCCAATATTTACCGATAACAAAATATCGATATCCATTTTTTCCATTCCACCTTTCTTAATTAAAATATAAAAAAAATTTCCCTTAATTTATTTCGCATGCTTAACAGATTAACGTATTTGTATTTCATATAATTCCAGGATTTCCTGAATATTTTATCTAAAGTATCGAGGGGCACAATTCAAGAGAAGCTGCAGTGGGTTTTTGGCCTGTATGATCTAAATGGAGATGGATTGATCAGCAAGTCAGAGATGGTAGACGTTGTAACAAGCATTTACGAAATGCTAGGTAAGAACAAATGATATACAGGGTGATTTGAGTTGTATTCTAGAATCTTCGGCAGCATATTGTACTTATAAAAATAAGTAAAAAGGTTCGTATAAATGTATGTCCTAAAATGCTTCGTTTCAGAGATACAGGGTGCACAAGTTTCATTTTTATTTCGGGTTTTTTCCAAATAATTTCTAAACTAACCTCGATATTTAGATGAAAATTGGTGGTACTGTGTTTTTATGGAGTCTAAAAGTCTTTTAAGCCCTCCATAGGTGTTTTTAACATCAGAAATTTGATTTCGGTGTCAATATGCCTTCTACTTGTAGGGGGCGCCATCTACATGTTTTCTAACAAATTTTATGAGTAATAACTTTTTGTCCGTACCTGTATAAAAATAATGAGTGAAAAAGATTTAAGTAATTTTCTACGTAAAAAAGCAACCGTTTTCAAAGATATTTGGAATGGAAAAAGTCAATGAATGTCTGAACTGAAATGATGAATTTAGAGACATTTTATTTTTTTAAGCTAATCATGAGTTTTTCTAGAAAAAAAGTAATAAATAATAATAATAATACTTTTTGACCAAGAAACCATTTTTACGTAAAAAAATACGGAAATGCATATTTTTCATCAAGTAGTGTAATAAAGATACGGACGAACAGTTATTACTCTTCAATACAGCTAAAAAATATGTAAGTGGTGCCCCCTAGCAGTAGGAGTTATACTAACATCGAAATCGAATTTCTCATGCCAAAAAACACCCAGACATAATTTTCATCTAAATATCAGCAGGAATATATAAAAATTTCCTAATAATCAGGAAAAAATCGAAATAAAAATGAAACTTCTACACCCTGTATCTCTGAACCGAAGCATTTTAGAACATAAATTTGTAGGAACTTTTTTAGATATTTTTATCTGTAGAATATACTGCGAAAGTTTCTCGAATACAATTCGGACCACTTTGGTATATGGATATGTGTATGCAAATAAATGTTATTATAGGTAGAGCAACTCAGCCAGCTGTAGAAGACAATTCTGCAAAAGAACACGTAGAAAAAATATTTCACGTGAGTTATTTTAAATAAAATAAATATTATACTAAAATGTTTTTTTGTAGCTAATTGACACCAATAAAGATGGAGTAATAACAATAGAAGAATTAATAAACTGGGTTTCGAGGGATGACAGATTTCTAAGATCGCTCGAAACTCTAGACACTGTATTGTGATCATCTTTATACCTCATCTACATCCAATCGTACCAATTTTCAAAGTATTTTACTATCTTATTTATAGTTTATAGATTTGTACCGGATTTCTAAGAAACTAACATTAAAAATTTCATATTAAATGTAAGGAATTGTAAGTGGCGTCGTCTCTCATTAGAGAATTATTAATTTAGCCTTGAAGTCAAAGAGATTTCATGAATTCATACACTATTTTCAATATTTTATAGAAAAAATATTTCGTACACTACTGACAATTTCAATTTGAATCTCTATAAGTCTTTATATTAATTTTATTACACAGATTTTATAAAATATTAGTCCTATTGGTATATTAAGAGTTAAATTATTAGAAGTCTGGTCTATTAAACATACAGAGTAACTAAATATAACCGAGTTTAACAAAAAGAACTCTCTTATACAAACGTTTTTAGTTACCCTGTTAATGCTGTTATATTTATATCTTCTAAAAATCGTTACCTGTTAACTATAGAGATGTGATTAAAAATAAGTATTTTCTAAGACTTCTAAGTGACATTTGTTATATTTAAGTAATTATGTACAGGGTAAAAACAACTCAATCGAAGTTCAAAGGGTATTAGAAGCTTTTAACATCTTCGCATGTGATTTCCACGATTCCAATAAAAATTATTTTAATTTATCCTGTACATAGACATTAGAGTTAGTTTACGTAAATAAACATACCTATATTAAAATCCTATAAAAATTTTCGATATAGAGACATACAGCCAATGTTTATTATTTTTCTACATGTAGTTCATAAATTTTGAGCACATATTACACAGGATGGTAAAAAAGTTGGTTAAAAGGATATTAAAAGTTTAAATTAATTTACCTAGTAAGTTTATAGGAAACAAACTGTGCATTAGAATAGAGATCAGTAATTTATATTATTTTCTGATGAAAAAATATATGGAACATTACCATCCTTGATTAGAAATAACCATTTCATATAAGACAAAGCTTATTCATTCTAATATGTGCGCATTCGCCAAATAACTAAAATGCATTCACCATTTTGTTAAACATATAGAAAAACCAAATTTTCACAAAAATTAATATAAACTGCAATGTCTAGTTCCAAATATCAGTAATATGAAAAATGAACTTAATGTTATAATCATTCCTTTAATATATATATAAATATAGATGTTAATTGTTTATAATATGACTTCTCTATTCCTTATTAAAATGTGTTAATTTAATAAGATTATACTTATAGTATATATATATAATAGATTATACATATATAAGTATTGTCTTCATATTTTTTAATATTGTCAAATACCTTTTGTTAATAAAATTCATATTGACTGTATTATTTGATAATTTTTTAATCCTAAAAAATCCAAGGAACTATTAATAATTAAAAAGAATGAAGTTTGCTTCTCAGAAGTTATCTCTTTATTACTTAATAACTTCTTACAACGTTTTCATATCATATCTTGATGGAAAAACAATATAAAAATAAATTAGACTTATAAACAAAGTGGTAAATTACGAAACAATTTTGGATTTTGTTGTTAGAGCAAATTGAGATACTAAAATTGATAGTACTACTGCAATAAATTCACTCTTCACCCAAGGACCATTGTAAGCTCCAGAATGGTGTACATAAACACTGAAAAATTCTGGAACACTTCCTGTTGGTTCATTATTCCTGATAGCTTTACGCAAAGCGGTATAACCTTCCTCATCAAAAATACGAATAAGTCGCTGTCCAGAACGTGCTGATTTAGATTCTTCAATCCAGCTGACCTAGAAATAGAGAAGTATTTTAAAAAAATGTAATCGTAACAGCTGGAGACAACATCACATACCTGGAAAGTTTCGGGTGCTACCACGGCAACTGGAATAATGCTACCATCCTCTAACTCGGCATACAAACTTGACAATACTCCAGTTGTACATTTTACAGTAATTTCAGATATAAATCCTATGTGAGAAACAATTGTTGCATCTTTGGTCGTGAATGATTTTGAGGTTACTTGTGGATTTGAACAAGCCGAACCAAATCCAACTAAGAAAGTTAGTAATACTGGTAGAACAAATATCTTGGACATTTTGATCACTTTTCACTCAAAACTGGACTGAATAAAGTATCAGTACTATCAGAAGAAGTAAATTTTTGTGAGCCACGTCCCACGTCGAAAAACACCTCTCCAACAAAACGAAAATTTTGACAACCACTTGACAACTCATCTATTCATACAGAGTTGCCATATACTCAGCCACGATGCCACGTTTAAAATAAATCTTGGTTGTTAAGTACTAAAATAAATTAGCCCAATTTAAAAAAAAATAATTTGAAATCATAAATACCTATTACATTCATATTATATACTTTTATTTCACAAATAATTGACAAATATGTATTGTTCATAAAAACAATGAAAATAAATGGTCAAACCAAAATAAAACTATGATATTAAAATGAAATATTTATCACACAATTTTAAACAATAAAAAGTTTAAAATTTATAACTTGAACACATTTTAAATGAATCTGTATATACATTTAGTATTTAGAAACATTTATAAATAAATAACACAGCACATGATTAAAAAAAAATTCTATTCTTTCAATACTTGGAAGCCAATGAAAAATAATGTTATACAGCATGTTCACATTAAGATAGTGGAAAGTAGGTATGGAACATTATTTTAAAATCTATGGTTTTATAGTATGCTTTTTGTATCATTCAGATAATCAATTGGAACCAAAGGATTTTTTCAACTGCTCAGCTAGTTGTTCTCTTAAGTCAGTCTTATGACCATCTGAAGAGCTTAACATATATTCAGACAGTGTTATGTAGATTCCTACACAAAGTCCCACAATAGCTGCCAGATAGATATTCTTATTTGATATAATACAGGTACAAAGACACAGCCCAAAATATGTCAGATATCTAGAGAATGTGACATACTTTTTCCTATCTTCATCATTTTCACCTAGAAAGATACAAAATTGAGCAATGCAGTAACTAAATGATATGATCAGTAACTTACTAACACAGATGTTGCCCTTTTTCCTGAATCCTGAAGCGCATTCTAAGCATTCATCTGGACCATCACCTGTGCAAGAAGAACAAGACTTGTGACAGTCCAAGCATTTAAAACTTCCTTCTGTGTTTATACAAAATTCTGATTTTTTACAAGGAGATTTTTCTGTCAAGCATTCATTATCATCAACGCATCCCCTTTCACCTCTGTGTTCCCATCCTTCTTTACATTTTTCACAGCCAGCTGGTCCAGCTTTTGAGCAAGTTCCATCACATGATATGTGACATGGTGAGCAAAGAACCTTCTTATCATCTCTGTAAGATTCATAAAAGCCATCAGAGCAGATATCACAGACATCTCCTTTGTATCCAGTGTCACAATGACACATCCCATTTCCTTTCCTGGTCCCTGCACCTTTACACTTCCCGTTATTATTACATATGTTGTTGGGGTATCCATGGCAAGGAGTACAAGTCCTACCAAAGTGGTTTTCAGGGCAGCACACCTCATTTGTGTTGATGCAAAGATGGTTGAAAAGGTTTGGCTCTTGTTTCTGTTGCTTAAACCACCATGATTCTAATTCCTAAAAATAATTAAGTTCAACATTTAGCAAGACTACAGTAAATGCTTTAATTACCTCATCATATTCTTCAAGTAACTGATAGCATTGATCCCTCCCTTCACTAACGTCCGAACATAACTTCTCGTGAATTTCTACAAATCTGACTTCACTATGAGCATAGCTGCCTAATTTTTCTTCTTCCCAGGCAGCATCACCACCCTCAAACTTATATTTTGAAGTTCTCTCCAATCCCTAAAATTCCTTCATAGTAAAACACAACAAAATGAAGTAACAGATATATTTATACATACTTTATTGAACGAATCGACGAACATTTTACAGGCTCTACATGGGGGTAGTCTAGTTTTTTGCTCCTTATCCCTCTTTATTTTTTCAATAGATTCTGTTGCAGTACAACAGTTTGAGGTTATAATAAATAGCACGAAAGTTATGTAGAAAACTGATTGCATGCTTATTAATTTAAATTAAACACAGGACAAGTGTTGAACCATTGAATTTTAACTACTACCCTGTTATTCTCTTAACACAGATGCATATCACTGATTTTCACACAACTTAATATTCTGTAACATAAATAAACAGATTTTTAATATTAAAAAATTACCGAAATTTTAACTGAGTCAATTAATTCAATGAGATACTTATCTGCCAACGATATCCTTTTAAATTTGTTCAAAAGACACCGGCAGATAGATAAACATTTACACGTTTCAAAAGGCTGTTGGTCGAACTAAAAAAGCGCAGATATTGATTTTTCCCAATATACAATGAAACATACAGAAATCGCCAAAATGGATAAAGATTCCTCATCTCTGTGTATTTCCCACAGACATAGTTTGCTCTCTACTGGAAAGATGGCAGCACAACACTACATGAAAAAGCTTAGTGAAGATATCCTAGTGGGTTTGTGCTATAGTTTGTGCCAATTGCTAATACATTTATACTTAATACTTAAATATATTAAAATATAAAATGAGTCTTGGGTATTTTCTAAATAATGACCTTTAATTGCATCCACATTTATTGATTGCACTGCTTGCAATTTTGTGGACAACAGTCTTAGTTTTATTATTATTATTTAAATAGTAGATAAGTTTATATTTAGTAGCTAGCATCATTATCTGATAAATCAAAATTTTGTAAAACCAATTTTATTGTCCATTACAATGTTCTTTTTTTCAAGCCATGTTTCAATTAATATTAATAAAGAAATATAAAATTTATCAAGTTTTATTGAATAAAACTAATTACTCCTAGCTGTGTATTTACAGCTAAATTCTTAGAAAAATGTCTATTAAATTCTAAAAACAGAAATAATAATAACAAAAAATGCAAATAACAATCTAGCAAATTTGCTATAAAAGGTACACTAAGAAAATAATGTTACCTAGCGCTACATGAGTTCTGTGCAAAATTTATTGACATTGGCAATTTGTATATTCCATAGACTTAAAATAAAATATAGACTACACTATTTACATCTCAACGCGGACAAACAACCTTTTTTGTACACATGTTTACTTCTGGGTACAGTCGACCAAGCCTTCCTCATCCAGCCTATGTTGTCACGTCTTTAATATTATCAATATTTTTTTTTGTTATACACATATATTGAGATATTAATACTACAGTTTAATAAAGTAGGTTTTAATATTCCATAGATGTATTAAATAGTCCTTATACTACTAAATTATAAGTCGGATACTGTTTAATAAGGATAAGTTCTTTACAATATGACAACACCGATTAGAGGCGAGGGAGCCTATTCATTCATTTATTACCTTGTAGTACGTGTCGCACGTGTGCGGTAAAGCTTTGTTGCCGCTATCTCCCCGGCTGTATTAACGCATTCTCTTAGCTTGTAGTCCTTAAGTGTTTATTTTATTGACTTTTTCTGTTCAGGAACTATAAAATATGGTTCGCCAGTGCCAAATTTGCAAGAAATTTGACTTAAATAATCCATTTAAGTCTTGAAACGACTTTGGACCGGTAGGCAACTCTCAATTTACCCATTGGCAGTCAGTGGCGTTGTTGTAGAAAGGCGCTTATTTAGATAATATTTTAGTAAAATGTAAAATCTGAATTTTTTCTTTTACATTACATTATTTACTTACTTACATTGTAACAAAATCATAATTATAACCCTGTTAATAATTAATAATGTTTTTATTAAAAATATATTCCGGTTTATTCTAAAATTATCTTCAGAATCTAAAATAACGTACAAGAATTTTAAAATGATATTACATTATGAAACAATATTTTTTAATATACCGGGTCGTCTCAAAAGTGGCTCAACCCTATAACTTTTTTTATTTTTTCAGATAAAAAAACAGATTTGTATGTTAGTAGGTATATGACATAAATTAGAATTTATTGGACGTATTCAATTGTTTTTGGTCTCTTCCTCTTTCACCGAAATGATTACATCTTTTGATTTTAAAGGCACCCTCGGTATATTGCTACTTTATTCGATAAAAATGACACTCTGAATAGAATGACATATCATATGTCAACTTTTGACATTGTCGCTTAAAAACATATCCTATTTTAAATTTCAATCCAGTTTTTTCAATCCACTAAGTTTTAATCAAGGAGCCTTGGAAAAATAGTTTTGATCGTCTAATAGGTTTCGTGTCTTGTCTAGGCCGGTTAAAAGATGTACAAATCGTATTTTTAATCATACATATGTCAATTTTTTCAAATGGAACAAGGGTGACTCATTAGCATATTTGGAAAAAGCATTTTTTTATGAATATATTGATACCACACACTTGGTATTTCGAGTCAAATTGTCGTTATGAACCGCGTGTTACAATTACAATTAAACCATATGCGAAAATGTCAAAAGTTGACATATGATATTTCATTCTATTCAGAGTGTCATTTTCTATCGAATAAAGTAGAAATATACCGAGGGTGCCATTTAAAAATTAAAAGTTATAGTCATTTCCGTTGAAACAGGAAGTGACCAAAAACAATTGAATGCGTCAATCAATCCTAATTTATTTCATATACTAACATACTAAATCTTGTTTTTTTATTTGAAAATATAAAAAAATTATGGGGATGAGCCACTTTTGAGACGCACCCGGTATAATAAAGACAGTACCGAGTTAAATAAATGTAGTTTTTATTTTATCCACTTCCTATCACCTTCCTTGCTTTAATGGAACAGATTTATGTTTTCTCTAATTTACATAATAAGACATCACTTAACCAGAAAAAAAATTACAACAATCATTTTTTTTTCTCTCCCTGTCGCCGATTCTATTATATCTGTGGAATAGATCCGGTTTTGATTAATATTAGGGGTTGTAAATGTTTGACTAAAATTAATAATTTATTATTAATTTCAAAAATTACGTAATTTCGATTATAAAATTTCTTCTATAACGTGTATTTTATTATGTTTATCCTTTTCGGACTCTAAGACGTTTTTTCTAAACTTTTATGTAAAAAACCTGTCCTAAATCTTAATAAAATATAAAAACGTTTAAATACGATATATTTTTAATTTACTTATAGCTTCATTAAAATAAAAAAATTACCCGGCTATGATACGGAGAGTTCAGGTGTACTTTAGAAACGAAAGACAGTGTTGTGTTTCTCGGCAGAGTCGTCAGGGAACGACCGTTACGACAGAGACAACCTATCTATCGCTCGTGTCGCACTCGTTATAACCTAAAACAATAACACAACAATAACACAACAATAACAAGACAGTGTCTGACCGCATGTTCCAGCTATTTATGAATGAGATGCTCAGTCTATATTTTATTTTAAGTCTATGGTATATTCACTATACAACAAATCAATAATGACATCTAAATAAATTGTGATTGTGTCAAACCATGAATTTAGAATGAATAAAATAAAAATATTAAAAATAGTACTTACATATGTATATTATTTTTAAAAATCAAAATTCTTATATTATTAGTATATTTTATGTGCATTCAAAAAGCATATTATTTATGATAAAACGAATCAGAAATAGTAGTAAAAAAGATAGTAAAGAAAAAAAAAACGACGATAATGACGTTCAGATTATAAAAAAAAAAAGAAAAAATAAAAAAAATCTAATTTAAAATATTACTTTCCATATAAAAATTAAAATTCTCTTTAAACAACTTTTTTACATAAACAAATTATAACAATTATATTATGTACTTTCGTACAACCCTTAAATTACGTTTCAAAAGTTTCATTGGTGTTAATAATAATTATAAATACTTAAGAACCAGTTCTTCTTGTAGTTTATATACATACATGCATATACCGTATGATCGAAAAAAAACGGCGTCCAGTTGGCTGGGAAATGACGATCGATGACATTTCCCATATAAATTTACATATAAAATGACAGCGATCTTCATTTCATAGCCATCGCTGACGCCGTTTTTATTCGATCATACGGTATATATATGTATGTTTGACATGCATGATAATATATGTAAAATTAGGTATATAGAATTATTACTTTTTATATATAAACATTTATCATGCTTCATTGTTTTTTCAACATAAGACAAATACAATAAAAAAAATCCTGCTTCTGGCAATGTAAAATAAAAAAAATGTATATAATATTGACTATTTTTCTATGTAATGTATATATGTATATATTCATTAAAAAATACAGCGTATAGCAAACACAGAAATGCTTATTTTTAATTAGATCTAAAAACTCTTTAGTTAATACCGTATGATCGAGAATAAACGGCTTCCAATTGGCTTGAAAATGACGATTCTCCATATAATGTTACATACAAAATGACTGCGATCTTCATAGCCATCTTTGACGCCGTTTTTTCGATCGTACAGTACTGTTTATCAATATCTAATGCTTATTGAATGGGTCCTCTTAGTATTTATTCTCTATAAGAATATTAAATAAAATAATTTTCTACAATTTCTAATTTTTTTAAAATAATTATAGTATACAGGCACAGATAACACATAATTATGCATTGATTATGTGTTATCTGTGATACAGGGTAAGTCTTAAATAGGAAAAACCTTTTTTTTTCGAGGAAAACCAAAACTTTAGAAATTTTTTTAATTTTTATTTAAAAAACATAATATCTTGATAACATCGCAAATCGCAACATCAATTAAATTGACAAGAAAAAAAGACAGAAAAGATCGAGTGGTACTCAAAATTGCAAGAAATCATTTTAATTTTTAAAGTAAAATACCTCGGTTATTTTGGACTTATTGAAAAACGGTAAAGAGAAAATATGTTTCTTTTATAGAGATCTATAAAAGCCCTGAAAATATTTGAACTTATTTAAGATTCACCCTGTATAATCCTTTAATAAATACTATTTATGGGCATATGGATATAACCAGCGATTCAATGTACGCTATTAGATCAATCTGCTGGAGATAGTTACAAGGCAACTAAAAACTATTAAAATATTTGGAATAGCACGAGCCATTTCAGAAAATGTCCGTCAAATAAATATAGATATATTCCCGTCATATCCTGTCAAGACTTTTTATCGATCCGAAGTGAATGTCTCGAAATAAAAAAATGCAACTTTGCCAACCGAAAAAACAAACTGCGATGTGATTAATGCCGTTTCAGCATGCCCCGGCCTTTTTTCCAGGGGCAGCCGCTCAAAGCAGGTGAGAGCAAAAATAAATGTAAAACAACAAAATTAATGACATGATTATAGGTTTTCAGCAAAAGATCCTCCTATTTCGTTTGGTTGGTTAGGAGGTGTCCGCAAGATCACATTGTGCGCAAAACAAGGACGCCATGGACCGCCGTGCAACGTGCTATAACAGAGTGGGGTACATTCTCTGTCAGTTGCAATCGCGATGCATAGTGAAATGCTGATCTTCGCCGCCTAAAAAAACTTTCGCGACACAACTTTGGCAAAATCGTATTTTTTTTCTTTCGACAGATCAAGGTAAAGAGAAAAAAAATATCCCTTTGTGTTTAGTGAACCCTTAAAAGTGACCCTTTATTTGTGCTTGTTTTGTCCCGATATGTTAGATGTGTAGATGAAAGTAGTTGAAAATAATTGTGCTGAAAAAACCTAACCTTTTTGTAGCCATGGATAATTCCGCGTATGTCCCGAATACTGGACATCTCAATTCGCCTGCTTTGGTGGTTTTTTCCCAGGCTGCAGGTGGCTTGCAGGATGCCCTCAGGATCCAACGACCCTTCAACCCACAGGTACGATCTACAAACAAAAAAATATATAAAAATATTGCACTAAATGTCATACAGTATTATTTTTCTATTGGAACTGTATGACAAATAAAATAATCACACCGTACATTAAAATATTTTAATAAAAGTTAAATTTCCAAAATGAATTTTATATTAAAAAAGAAAATATTATTTCCATATTTTATTGTATTATATAGAAAAAAAATAATAATTTAAAATGAAATAATTAAAAAATATATTAAATTAAAATAGTAGGTAATTATTTTTTATATTAAATAATTTTTTACTGTCGATTTCTAGCCAGTATTTTTTCAATAAATTGTTTCTTTATTTGTCAATTTTTTCACAAGTAGAGAGCCTTTCCCAAGCCAAAGAAAAACTCACAAAAATCTTAATTCATTTTGGCCACAATTTACCTCTGAACAACTTATTCTCTATGCCACTATCTAAATTCATTATCCACAAAAATATCTCAAAAATATATTTACTATCTTCTCAGTACCTTGGATTTTTTTTAATTTGCTCTTAAATGGAAAATGCTATGAAATGTATACCAAAAGATTAAGTAAATGGTAAGTTCATTTTTACTGTAACAAAACATAATTTAAAATTATTGTTATATTGTTGTTCCTTAAAAAAGATCAAAATGTGATGGAACCGTTGGAAAATCATTAAATATTATGTTATAATTTTATTTGAATTAAATTAGTCAAATGTATACAAAAAATGGTCAATGAAGTCAACAAAAAAAATTGTTAATTAAATATTAGCAGATATTTTATGTAGAAAAATATTTGAAATATTCGTTTCTGATCTTCGTAAATGCTTGTTTATTCTAGTTTGCGATGTCGGAAGCCCAAAAGGAGCTGCATCGTCCATTCTCGGCTTCAACTTTTGGCCTTCGCCATATGGAAGCCTACAGCGGTATCCCTGCACATATCCTCAACCATCTACAACCCCAATTCCTTCATCCAGGCTTATCCCTAGGTTCTGGAGCCTTTCGTCCTTTAGCAGACCTAAAATCCTTTCCAGCACCTTCGGCATTCGCACCACCAAAATGCTTGAAGATCGAAACTACCGGCGATGGCATTCATTCTGGACATAACCACGGTAAGAAATAGGTTTTGAATTTAAAGAAATATGATTTATTTTAAAATAGGCGGATCAATGATCAGGAAAAAATTGTTTCAGGAATATTTTCTCCGACGGAAGAACGGATTTTAGGTCCTAGTCCAAGAGGTACTGATTCGTGCTCGCCTGCCAGTACCTCTTTATCTCCACAACCAAATAATACTTCAGTTAAAGAAGAAAGTTTGGACGCTCAAATGTCCGAAGATGGCGAACATCATTCAAGAACTACCGATACAGATTCACCAGGTATCCACGAGGATAACAGGGGAGGATTCCGGAGTAAGTCTGTTCAAATCATATAATTTATATCTTTAATAAATCGTATAATCGCCCATTTAAGAATAGATAAAATAACTCTTATCAAACCTTCCACGCAAGTTACCCTCAAAAATTTCAAGTTTCGCCGCAAAAAAGGGTATCCGCCGGTCTTTAACATTCCTAAGTGCATTATCAAACCCCTTAATAACGATAAAAAGTCTTAACACCCCTTAGGTAATAATAAACGGGTGCTAACCGCCTTTTTAAAGATGCCGCCCCTCCTTTTCTTATTATTACATGGTTTTTTAACCGAAATCGGCAAGAGGAAAAATGAAAATTACGAAAGATATTACAAAGGCTGCTGCCGAGCCGCTTTATATAAATTTTCCGGCAATATTTTCCAAGGGTGAAAAGGCCCTGATAAGTGAAAAGGCCGCCCCGATTGTTATTTTTTATTTCGCCCAAGATTAACGCTCACCGCGCCATGGAAATCGCGAGGTGATTTAGGAATTGCTTAAAGCTGATGAGCTTTTTACTGTTAAATACCGAAATTTCTTAGAAATCGTTCTTCGCTTTTATTTTTTAAAAAACAACACGAAAACTGGAATTTTTAACAAAAATAAGTCATTTCAAAATTAGCTATTGTAATATTCTTATTTCTTTTCCTTCTAAAAAGGAAAACTCGTCTTTTGCAGAAAAATAAGTATTTTCAAAATTAATAACTGTAATATTGTCTTATAAATTCCACATCAGCTTTTATAAACCCAGACTTTTGCAGGAAAAGCAGTAATTTCAAAATTAAAAACAGAGGTAGCAATATATTTTACAGTAAACTAAGTCTTTTCAAAATAGATAACTGTATAGTGACTTTTACCTTTCAAAGATACGGAAAAAAATTAGAATTTCGCAGAAAAATAAGTCATTTCAAAATTAGTAACTGCAATATTGTCTTATACATTCTTAAATACCCTCCAATTTTTTGCACCCTCCGAGTTTTGCAAGAAAATAAGTCATTTCAACATTAATAATTGTAATACTGTCTTATAAGTTCTTTAACACCCGCTATTTTTTGTCAAGCTCTCTAAAAATTAGAAATCTACTCTTTTGCAGGAAAGTAAGTCATTTCAAGATTAATAACTGTAACAATATCCATATAACTGTAATAAACTTGTTATAATTCCATACTATTTCATATAATTTTCGATTAACTGTATATATATGCATCGAATTACTTTTAAATTGTTATATAATTTATACCGGTTGTACGCAATACAATTTCAGAACATATATCTATAAATTTAGACCGGCTGCGTAGAAGATATATCTTTCTTTAATTTACTATGCATTTTGCGTAGATACCTCGAATGTAATGCAAATATCTCATATGTATATTCGATTAAAATACTACAAGCGGATTGACAATCGTGACGTTTGAATTGGACCGAGCTAAAACTACTGAGCAATAGAAGATATTACAGTTCTTAATTTCAAAATGACTTGTTTCCCTACGATTCCTGTTTTTCAGGCAGATTCAGGTATGCACTTTTTAAAAAAGTTGTAAAGATTTCATATACATTTTGAATAAATCTAATATTTTTCATGGAATTGAGCGATTTAAAAAATTATTATAATTTTTTTTTCAAATGTATTTCACTAGTGAAAAGGTTTTTCAATTCGTTACTTTTTTATTTTATAAGTTTCTATATCTAAAATAAATAATTTTTAAGTTATTTAAGATTTAGTTTTAAAGCGTATATATTTCTCGATCATATTGTGAAACTTTATTAGAACAACAATATCAACTATTAGATATCCATTAAAGAGTGAAAATACGAGAAATATTTTTATTTTTACAAAGGAAACTAGATAATTTTTTTAATCAATTTAATCAAAAAAAATATACGCTTTAAAACTAAATCATATACAGGGTGTCCCAGAAATAAGTGCAAGTATTTTAACGGGTGGTAGATCTCGATAAAAGAAACATATTTTCTCTTTATCGTTTTTCAAATAAGTCCAAAAAAAAATATTTTTTGCTAAAATTTTGAGAGCCACTGGATCTTTTCTGAATTTTCTTTCTTCTAAATTTAATCTAATACCTATATTGCCATATTATCAAGAAATTATGTTTTTATCTAAAAACTAAAAAAAAATCCAAAAAATTTCGAATTTTCATTCATTTTTATTTCGCTGTGTTTCTGGGGTTGAAATATACTACCAGCTAAAATACTTGCACCTATTTCTGGGACACCCTGTATAACTTAAAAACGATTTATTTTAGATTATATTATATGAACATGTATAATTAAAAAGTAACAAATTAAAAAACCTTTTAACGAAATAAAAAAGTGGCTTTCCATTTGAAAATACTGATTTATGACAATTTTTAAATCGCCCAATTCCTTGAGAACTTCGGCTAATAATATATACAGTATGTCCCCGGATTGTCTTGACAAGAGTGAAAACTTTTTTATTATTGACATTTTGAGAAAAATGTATTCTTCATAAAATTTTTTGCTTGTTCTAAAATGGCTAATCCCGTTTATACTTTTCCAAATTTCCATACCGTTTTAGAAAAAATTAGAAAAAACATGAAAATACAGTTGAATTTTTTTCCCTGAGGTCCTGAAAATCAAAACGCTTTTCTATGGTAATATAATTTCGTTTTCATTCTTTGATAGATTGTTGTTAATATAATTTTAATTAATGTCATATTTTTTGCTGTTTTAAAATGTTAAAGAAGCACAAAATGTATTTACCAAGTACAATGGTACGGAAAGAGTGAAGTAATTATCGGAAAATGTGATACTTTAACAACAGCAAAAAATATGATGTTAATCAAAATGAATAATAACCATCTATCAAAGAATGAAACCGAAATTATATTACCATAGAAACGCCTTTTTATTTTTAGCAGAAAATTCAAAATGACAAAAAAAACCTCCTGAAACGTTAATTATTTTTTAGTAACATATCACTGACAATTTGGATTCAACACAGTGGTTTAAAAAAAATAACTTTTTTATTCGGTAGGTTTCCTTCAAATGAAAAAATTTCTTTTAAAGAAATGAACCGGCCACATAGGAATCTATAGACATGATTTAAAAATAGGGTGTATTAAACAAGAGTTGTTGGAAAACAATTAGAAAACGAACGAGGGGTTGAAAAGTAAAAACCGCAAAAGGGCAATTCTGACCGCTCTGGCTGTTAAAATCACGAATCGTCCACCAATTTCCCTCGTAACGTGGGGCATTATGTTAGCATTACACAGACAGTTAAAATCTGTTAGTAAAAGCTTACATATGATTTGTTATTGCGGGTTTTCGCCACCACAGAGCGAACATTTCCAATAACGACTGTAATTATTTGGTCAATTCTCATATTCTTTTGTTCCGGCAAAAATACCTATTGTCACCGCGCTCGAATTGTACTTTGCAGGCTTCAGTTTCATCATTTCGTTCAGATTTACGTTAGTACTATTGAATTTATTTGACAATAGTTGGAATTTGATTATACTCGATTTTTCTAAACAAAAAATTCAATGATTTTCTTCTCTATTTTTTTAAATAAAATCAGTATTAAGCGTTAAAATAATTAATATTTGTAATTATACAGACCCTCGTTTTACGTGACATATGTATACCGGGTGCGTCTCAAAAGTGGCTCACATTTATAACTTTTTTATTTTTTCAGATAAAAAAACGAGATTTGATATGATACTATATGACATAAATTAGGACTGATTGACGTATTCAACTGTTTTGGCACCTTTAGTATTTTTTTTAATTCCCTTCATAGAAAATGACACTCTGAATAGAATGACATATCATATGTCAAGTTTTGACATTCTCGCTTAAAAAATCCATGTGAATGCCATGGTTGTGTTAAAAACACTAGTTTTTAATCAAGGAGCCTTGGAAAAATAGGTTTGATCTTCTAATGTTTTTCGTGTCTTGTCCTGGCCGGTTAAAAGATGCCCAAATCGTATTTTTAATCATATCTCATTTTTTTCAAATGGAACGAGGGTGGCTCATTAGCATATTTGGGAAAAGCTACACTTGGTATTTCGAAAAAAAAATTGTAGTCATTTCCGTTGAAACAGGAAGCGATCGGAAACAACTGAATACGCCAATCAATCCTAATTTATGTCATATACTAACATACCAAATCTCGATTTTTTTTTCTGAAAAAATAAAAAAGTTATAGAGGTGAGTCACTTTTGAGACGCACCCGGTATATATTTATGTGTACATTTTTGACAGTAGCGGCTTATTTTACACCGTTTTTATTTCATTATTTCCACACAACAAATGAACAAATCAACGAGTTTTCAACATAGGATGAGAAACGGCAACAAACATATTGACTACGTATGACCAGAACTTATATAAAAATTAAAGAAACTGGTGATTTAGGAAAGTCGTTGCTTGGAAAGAATTTAATAATTTGTATCAGGAGTATCTAAATGAGCTACTTGAATCACATACTGTTGAACACTCTGTAGAAGAATTCAAAGAATTGGAGCATGGAGAGAGTATGAAACTGAAGAAAGAAATGAAGATGTCGTTTTCTAGGGCATCAAGGAGTTCACTGAAAACTCTAAAAAATGTGTTATCATAGCACATGATCTTTAAAAATTAAAGAAAGAAGTTTTAAAATTAAACAAGAGGTCTTTGTCGCATTATACCTATATGTTTTCATGTTTAGAGTTGTAATATTCTAACCAAATACTAAAATGAAAATAATACAAAAAAAGAGAGTTATCTCGAGGCATTATTAATATTATTTTAAGAAATTCAATAGAAAAACGATTTGTAAGGAATAACAAGGGCAAGTTTGGCTGTCAGGGGTGGGAAATCAATTGGAACCAATAACGCTTTAGGTTTTTAATTTCGATTGTCATTAATTGTGGGTGAGAATGATTTTCCTTCTCTGCGCTGCCGAACTTTCTCCCCACAGACGTATTGCGATTCATTCGAAATGAAACTAATATATTCTCCCTGAGAAAATACTGCGAACCA